ATTTAAAATATTTTCTTCATTAGTTAATTTAGAGAGTTACCTTTTACTTGGGATTGGAAGTTGAATTTTATTATCATAATAATAATGCTAATGAATGGTGAAATTACTCTTTTTGTTTAGAAATCTAATATCACAGAATTGCATAAGATCCTTAACTAGTTTTTATTTTCTTGAAACAGAATCATGTAAAAACTTTAAATTGATTATAATCATCACATTTTAAACATAATCAACCTTATTTTAAAAAGGCTGTTTTAGAGCAAATAACTTTTGCTGTACAAATGTCCTTAGCTTTTCCGACAACTTCATCTACTTTATCTTTAATCTAATAAATTAACACAAAATTCTATTTTCATATTTTATGTATAACTCTGGCTGATTTGAATGACTACTATGGATTTTCATAAATATCAACTATTTATTTTACTTTGGGTTTAATAACTACTTGGCACCAAATCACCTGTACTTTTCAACTCTATAAGTAAAGTTCAGGCATTATGTTAGAAATAAGTCATAAATACTTATTGCAATTTCTTCAGCTTTTTGAAAATTGTAAAACTGCACAGTAGTTTTGCAGTAGTTGCAAAACCTATGACCTATACTACAAAAATACCCTGAATTGGATTATGCCGTTACTCAGTGGCAGAATCACAAATCAGAAAACCTTTTTATTGCCAATGTCTGACTTACTTCAAAAACTATACATGTTAGAGCTGTGATCAGTCAGACCCTGATTCTCATCGCAAGGTTACATTGGTAAAAGTGTGCAATGCATTTTTTTCTCAGTGACCCACAGTTCTTAGGTGATTTAAGTTAGAAGATTGACGTGAAAGATGATTCTGTTATCTCAGTAGTGTGGTCAACAATGTAGAATCGGAGAGTGTTGTGAAAAATTCTTGAGTTTGGTCTGAAAAAACTGTGGGTTCCATCCTGTATTTGATGGGCAGTCAGGTATTTCAAAATTCTTAACAGCTTTGAGCCATTGCTTCCTCATTAGTAAAATGGATGTAACAATATGTACCTCAAAGGTAAAAGTGAAAAATTGTAATGCAGAATGATGTATTTTCATTAAATGTTAACTTTTTCTTTATCACTTGTATCTGGTCAAAAGTAAACACAGAATAGGGGGAAATCTTTTTTTTTTTCATAGAATGTTTACTTCTGTAGCAAACAGGAGCAAGAGTATTCTCCTTTGTGACAAAGAATCCTGAGATTTTTACATGAAAAATGTTTACTAAAACATTAATTAATGTCATTATATAATGATTGCTATGCAAAGGTAAAAGAGTTATGGATTATTTCCATAAGCACAATGATGTTATATTTTATGATGTAAATGCAATAAATGCAAACATGATTAATTCCCTTGAATATAGCAGATTGTTTGCTACGTTTTTATAAAAAAAAAGAGGTGAATTTGATACAATATAGAAATATAAGGAGGGTTAATACTTAATAGCACACCTTTGTGTGATAATGCAACTCCTTCACCTATACCATAACTAATGCACAGTAAAGACAAACAAGGTCTTAAGCTGGTCAATAAAAAGTCTTCTCTTGCAGATGATGCACATAGTTTTCTTGGTCCCCTTCACCAAATAAATTTTGTATTACACAGTCACAAAGCAACTTGCAATTAGGCATTAACACAGAAATGTTCATGTTCCATAATCTCAGTCAATTTCCATTTTCAAAAATTATTTGAATGAAAAGACTCATGAATATGTCTTTGTAGAAGATGAATGCTGGTGGTCTTTTAAATATTTAGCATAGGAAATTCAGACTTTTTTATTAGAACTGAAGTCATTAGATAAAGGGCTATAAGTTTAAGGACTTGGGGTGGGTCAAGCATGACAATTGGATTTAACTGTATTCAAAGGGTTTTTTATTTTCTGAAAAAATATACGATTTCATATCTTACACTACAAAAACATGTACATAAACCAAAAGCACAGAGGTTCAAATGGGGCAAAATATAGAAATGCTAATCCTTTTTTTCCATTAACTTTGAGGAAGGGAATTTGATATCCTGATACCTATTGCAGAATAAGATATACAGCTGCTTTTGACCTGCCTGAAAATAAGAGATTTTGATAAACATATTAAGACATGACTAAGTCTATGTTTATTTTCAGTCTACTATAAATGTAATCTATACACTTTTAAATAGTTAATTGTAAAACTACAAGAGTCTAAAGATTCACAAATATGTTGACCACTCAAAACTTTGTTTAATATAGTTCCCAGTTTGAATAAACATGACATATTTTTGCCACCTTAAATTTTTTCCATTAACATTAGGAGAAAAAAAATTGGCATTGATTCTGATTATTATAAACAGACTTTCAAAAACAAATTGGCATCTTATAAGCAATAATTGTGTGGTCATTCTGAAGAACATCCAATCATTTATGTGCGAAAAGGCAACTTTTTCATAAATGAACAAGAAATGAAAAGTTCTCTATTTCTTTTTTGGTATTACTATATAATTAATGACATAATAGAGAAAATATTCAAACAACTGTGCTAGAGTTGAAAAATGATGGTATTGTAGTTAAGTTTCAAATAAAGCTAACATTTTGATTTTGTTTACTCATTTATCATCATCATCATCATCATCACCATCATATTGTATCTACTTTTTATTTACTTTGAAGCTAAACATCCCTCAGGACATAAAGACAGTTTACTACCACACTTAGTTTTTTTCCTGATTTTTAGAAAGAACAAAATGAGAAAATGATCTTATTTTACTTTGTTAAATTACCCATTTAGTAATCTCTAACACCTGACTCAGGTAGTGTTTGCCATCAATGTACCATTACTGACAAACACACCTACAAAGGTGGGCGTTTCTGCTTGTGCTTTTGGAAACCCGCTTTAAATGGGAGAAAGAAAACCATTTAAAAACTCTTTTACTGTCACATAGAAATTAAATAGCAGACATGCAAACACACAAGTGCTCAATTCACATTGATGTTTCATTTTAAACTTGAAACATGAAACAGTGTCTTTACAGTTGCACACTGTTACAACTTTTAAATATGGAGGTAAGAATGTTTTGCATCATTTGGGCAACTCTGAAATGAACAATGCTGACAACACTTAAGTTTAAATAAAATATCGGGACACAAATTTTAGAGTAATCCTCTCACTTTAGAATACTGATGTGGTGAATAAAATGTAAGAAGTAAAAGACCATGCATATTAAAATTTTTTTAAAAGGGAAAAATAAAAATCTTTACATTTTTAAATACAACCAATACATTTCAAAAAGAGCAACTAATTGTATGTCGGAGTACATGTGAGCAATAGCAAGATTACACAAAAATTATGAATTACAGAAGTAGTAATTGAATGACTTCAGTGGATAGCAGCAAGTTGAAAACAACTTGCTTATACCTGTTTTTCAAGTCCAAAACTGAGAAAGACTCATGCCCTAAAGATATTGCTACTCAGTTACAATCAAATTACATATGTTTGACAAATCTATTAGATGTGCTAAAATTATCAAATCTATATTTTTGGTATTCCAGTGGGTGATGAAATGAACCAATAGGTAGGATATCACACAATCAAGATTTCTCAGATCTTGCCCTGGGTTGCAGTCTCAGTGCATTTCACAAGAGCTGCCTCTTCTCCTTGTTCCATTTCTCACATTTATAGATGAGATTGGCACTTTTCAATTGGTGACATATCCAGTGGTGAACAAATATTTTAGAAAGGCATTTTTTTTCTTTTTTGGAGGCAGAGCACATCCTATTTGAAAGTTTATTTCTTCTAAAATCATATTTATACTTTTAACTAAATTGAGATGGATAAAAGCTACGTGACTATTTAACTTTCATTTGGAATTACTTTCAAAGGAGGAAAATAAATTTAATCTAAATTAATTTATATTCTTCCTTTTTGAAAAAGCAGACATCCAGTTACTTAGATACATTCCACACTGACAGATAAATTATCTTTGTACATACAAAGTTGAAAAACTACTTACAAAATTTTTTTGTGAAGTCCAAGCAGTAGTAACTAGTTCAAGTTTGAAGTGTATTCTAGTTTTCCTTTTAAATTATTAAGTATATTATAATTTTGAAGTTTCTCAATTGTTACTTCATCATTTAGATTCAGAAATTTTGGTAATATGCAGTATAGTATTAATACACTCTCCAATTACGTTATACAACAGACATTGGTTTCAATAATTGTATGTTTATTGAATATTTTTAATCATGGAGATGCCTATTTACTTATGATTTTATCAAAACAATATTGAACCATCCCTCTCAAACGCCTCTGAAAAATTCACTAAACTACTAGATTATACTTGAAGCACAGTTTGTGTGGATCCATGGTACTTTTGTAGAGACAAAAGTCTATTTATGATTTGAAAAGTGTTTACATTTTTTCTTTCTTTTTTTTCATTGTTGTTTTGATTTTTCATTGTTCTTTAGCAAAGAGCTACTTTCCTGTTTAACTAAAGTGTGGCAGGGTATAAAGAAATTATTCACCCTAAACTTATTCTAACATGTGCTAAGTTTCAAGTGAAATAGGTGCTTAAGAAAGAGAGTACATTAATAAAACACAGGTGTATTTCCTATGTGTTTCACTACTCTGATATATTATTGCCATTGATCATTGTGAATAGGCTCTGTTTTATTTGCTTGCTCTGCTCCTTGAATAATCCATCCCTTTCCATAATTTTTATATTATAACAGCACAAAAACTTTGTTCATCTCAGTAGGAGGTCAGTTTTGTTCAATTTCTAATAAACTATATGCTTTTTTACTACACATATCAGTCTTTATCCCATGTGGCATGTAAGACATACAGAGGACATATCTTATATTCCCTAATAAATCCAATTAAATAATATTTTAAATTCATTAATTAAAATAAATGTAATGCCATGTAATCAGATACAAAATAAAACTACTAAATTAACAAAAGGCCATCAACAAACAAAACTTGTGAAGTCTGAAACAGAAAATTCAGAAAGAAAAATATGTAACTACATTACTTCATTCCATTGCTTCCTTAGTATCAAAAATTCTAGAAATGAGATGCAATGGAAATGGTTGCAAAGGATTAACACTGAAGGGTGATGCTTAGTGCTTTGTGCCTGGATTTAACAACATTAACAGAAGTCAGCACAGTTAAATCCTTCTACATCCTGCTAAAAATGTGCCCTTTGGTGTCAACTTTGCTTGACAAGATATTTTCTGAGACTCAGAAAGGTGAAATTTCTTACAGGGGCACAAGATTAATGGCTAGAAGAACTGCACTGTCACAGATATCACAAAGTGTTTTTAAGCAGCCCAAGGGGATTTAATCTTATAGACATTTCCTGTTAGTGAATAAAGAGATTAGTAGTATTTGGACACGAGAGAAAAGAGACACCAGCTTATGTTACATTTTGTTTTACTCTTCCCTATTTCTCTTATTCATATTATACTCTGAAACACTTGTCCTATGTGTTGCCGAAATTAAAACACTATTAAAAATGCAAGCAAAATGACAATGTATACATGTGCAAGCACACACACACACACACACACTCACAGTCCATCTTAACTCAGTTCCTGGGTATATTATAAAACACACAGTATGTACACATTTGTTTCCTAATAGTCTCTAGAAGAGCAACTAAAAATGAATTTTAGAACACAGAAAAATACATATACACCTTGTATTGTACTTTTTCCTTGATCAAGCAACATGTGTATATACTAGTTTCTATAACTTAACACCATGTAAATAGCATTTTAAAATTACAAAAGAAAATATGTATTAAGAAATAAGCTAATAATATTGCTCTTCAATACACTTATGTAGACAATTAAGACTTGAAGTAAACTTCAGTAAACTGTAGCTTTTCTTAGCCCACAAATGGCTATAAAACTTTTCCTTTCAAGTAGATTCCTGGAAGTTTTGAAAGGGGCTGCCTTAATTCAGTCTATAAAGGTGCTATGTGTTTATATATTTCATGTACAAAATTTAGTGGAAGTAGCAAGAAGGATTTTGGTGTTGTATCATAAGGACATTTAACATCATGTTCTCATTCTATGCAGGTTGTAGAAGCTTCATGAAAAATGAAGACAAAGGAAGATGTGGAGATTTTAGTAAAACACTGAATAGCAATTTTGTGCCTGAGGTTTAGAAATCACTGTTTTCCCTTTTTCCCCTTTTTTGTTAAAATTAATCTCAGGGTTGTTTACAAAGTGCAGAATCATTCACTTGAAGGAGTGACATAGTGGAAGTTACAATGGCACCATTCCGTTAATCAGCTGCACCTTCATTTCTTGAAGGCTGTTCATAATCTTCTTCTGGTGACCGACAAGAGTCACTCCAAGCCGCCTCAAATCCCTGCATGAAGAAAGCACACATTGGATGTATGTATTGATTCAATTTGTAGCACATCTCAATATTTCATGCTGGCAAAGGGGTAAGCCTTTTGCAGAGACTAGTTAGAGCAGAGTCCAATTTAGATATTTGAGGTCTAATTTTCAAAGGTATGTTCTAAAATTGTACCTTGAAAAATTGTTTGCAATTAAAGAAATACTTATAATGGAGTAATATACTACATATTTGCTTTAATGGAACATAGTTTTAATGGGACAGAGTGATGAAAAACAAATTTGTGTGTCTTAGCAGTAAATATTGAACTTACAGGGCACAATTTCAGGAAACAGCAGTGAAAATGTGGACTTACAACATGAACAAACTTAAAAATTTTTTTGCTAAAGGAGGTAAGCATAAAGGTAATTTAAAAGTTTTACAGCTCATCAATTAAAGAACAAACACTTAAAATGACTCATTACATACAGTCATATATGATGACATTTTTAGGGACTAACCATCACTATATTTCTCTTATGACAATATTTCATGTTATTTTTTATTTTGTACCAAAAGTACTAGAATTTTCTTCATTTGCCCAAAACATGTAGACTCTCTTGGGGTTTAGAGCATTCTGAAGAGTACACATCAGCAAAAAGACTTTCAACCAAGATATTTAACATGTATTCTTTTTAAGAAAAAAATAAGTTTATTATTCAAAGAAAAATTACAAATGTTTAGATTTCTACACTGACATCTTCTGGAGTTCAACACAAGTGCATATGGTTTTTGAGTGTTTCATAGGATATTTAGGAATGCTATATATTTGACAAATATGATATAGGTATATTTAGAAAATAATATGCATTAATTATAAGAAAAATGAGCATTTACAATTCAGAACTCTAAATGACAAAGATGTTTGGCATGTTAGATATCTTTAGATAGATAATTACATTGTTGAACACATTATGCTAATAATGCAATATTTTTGCATTTAGTGTGTTCATTTCAGATCTTAAAATTCAATAGATTGGAGACAATGACATTAGAATATTATCCTAGGTAATATTGAACAGCTTTAGATAGCTCAATGAAATATCTTAATTATCAGAGAATAAAAATTAAAGGGTGCCTTGACTTCATCTGTATTAGTATTGAAAAGAATTGTTTACTGAAATGATAGCCTATGTTTCCTTTTTTCTTTACAGTTTCTTGATTCCCTATGAGAATTTTAGAAAATTGTAAGTAGTCAAAAATGTTACTGATGCTTATGATGGAGATGTACTTCTTTCTTAGACTGTGAATACTAAACTTAGAAATTACTGTAATTACAAGACAGCAGTTCACAATATAAAACTGTTAAATTTGGCATGAGGGGGAATCATTGGCAAAACAGAAGAATCAGTAAGACTTCAGTTTGAAAAATGTCACTGTTAGTAAAGTATGCTAATGAAACTGACTATAATACTATAACTATATACTAATACTAATAACTATAACTAATACTGACTACATTACTATCGCTATATACTAATACTAATAACTACAGACTAAAGTAGGAATAAAAGAGACTTGAGCTCAATCTTGTCTCTTCAACTAAATTAGAATTTCTCAGCCTTGCCCACATTATTATTCTTGGCTAGATAATTCTGTGTCATTGTAAGTTAGCAGCATTCTTGTCCTCTACCCACTAACCCCAGAGGCATTGCACCTCCACTGATCTTTCACTGATGAGACAAAATGTCTTCGGAGGTTGCCAAATGTCTCATGTATCAAAATCTCCATTTGAAAACCACATCACTAGACACAAATATAATAGATGTGACTTAATAAACATCTTCTGTTTATATATTCAACTCAATGATACAGACATTTTTATATTTCTTTTTAGAGATTAGGAAATGGAGGCTTAAAGAATTTAAATCACTTGGTAGATAGTAACTATTGAGATAGGATTAAAACTACATACCTGACCACAAAGACCATATTCTTAAATTCTCATTAATTTTTATTTGTATTTTATTTTTTGCCATACTGGGGTTTGAAGTCAGGGCTTCACACTTGCTAAGCAGGCACTCTACCACTTGACCTACACCTAAAACCTCTTATTATTAGATATGACTTTGGCAAAGCACTTCAAACTAAATGCAACAATTTATTGATCAATAAAATAAAAACTCTGTAAATATAACATCAAATATGTCAAATTCTAAAGAAAGAAAATATTTAATGAAGGGAATCAAACACATGTTTCTTGATTGAGGTGGATTTCATGCATCTATATCTAGATGTATGTATCTATAGCTAGATGAATGTATTCACATTTCATGAATAATTTTATGAATGTAGATATTCATAGTGTTCACTTGTATGATTACAATGCATCTTGTAAACATATACCTCGACATAATGTGATTTTTAGTGAAAAATTGGGGGGAAATACAATTGTTTATGTACATTAAATTGTGCAAAGTAGTCTCTTTAAAAGTCTTTTGATATTTTTCTAATGGTACTGAATATGAAAATTGACATAGCATTAGGAAAATGTCTATAATAACATTTAAAGATCTTTATTCCAGTATTCATAATTTCATTAACTATTTTCTTTTAAGTAGTTTTATCTCATGTTTTTGCTATTTTTAGCAGTCCCCATTTTATCATCTAATATATGTATTAAATGCCCAGATTACCAATAATAATAGGAAAACATTGAGAAAAATAAAGTATTTTAAATTTAATGAAGTGGCTACCCTATATACAATGAGTTATGAAAGAAACATTTGGAAATGATACAAAGTACACTGTTTTCCTCATTTCATTTATCTATGTAAGAAATGTGATGTCTAGGTACTTTTGGATGTGTCCCTTTTATAAAGGTTACACTAATTCCATCATGACCACAAGAAACTTTAAGTAATACTCATGGTCAAGTCTAATGGTAATAAAGTCTAAGCATAGGCTTACCATCTAAGCATAAGAACAGTATTATTCCAATGGAAAATAGTTTGTATTTTGTTGATAACATATGATTAGTATTAGAAAAGCTGAAAATATAATGAAATTCCATTATCTGTGTTACATTTTTGCATCTTTTAAACATTATTCCATGATATTAAACAATGAAAAATGTTGGTTTAACCTCATAGTATGCTAAACTGGTACAGCACAAAATGAAGAGTAATAAGTATCTAGTTGATGCTGGAACCAACTCTTGATTATTCAGGATAAAATTCATCCACTACTGGATGATTCACTTTCTTGCTTATTCTTCTCCCTTCTGCTTTACAGGTCATTTACACATGTTACTGTTATTTAGCCTCATCAACACTGGCTAGATAGGAGAAGGGAGAGGAGATATTAATGAATATTCACCAAACTTCAGTGTTCCCTACTTTTCATAGTTGTATAATGCAGTTGTGTATTTGTCAATTTTTATTTCAAAGTAAAAAAATAATCACTTATATAGCTACTATATATGGTAAATATATTTACACTTGGCAAGAGGATATTTATTCATAGCCTGCTAAAGGTTTTCAATAGATAAGACCTCCTGAGGACTAGACTTGGAGTTTTACTTTAACTGTGCAGAACACAGAGGACTATGTGTTCTTTAAGAATGTACTAAACAATGTATAAGGACTTTCTTGATATACTAATAAATCCATTTGAATTACTTTGAACAAATATTGGGTCTAGATTTAGAAATTTTCATTTTAGTGATTTAAGACTCCATCCTATTAACTGATACAGGAAACTCTTCAGTTTATACACAATTGTTGTAATATTTAAGTTCATTGAATTTATTCATTCTCTGAATAACCAAAAGTTGACAACACTTGACAAGAAGTCTAAAAAGCAGTCGTGACTTTTGTCCTTAACTGCAATCTTTGGATTCAATTTGCAATATGCCTCAAGTTTATAATTTCCTTGTCATCAATAATCCACTGAATTTATACATATAGCAGAGATTTTACCATTACTGTTGCAATAATTGTTCAAGTGTGAATACTATACACAAAATAGCAAGTTTTAAGCACAGAGAACAACAGAAAGAATCATGTAAAGTTGAAAGTTACTTTCATTGAACATGTTTTACTGCAAGTCCTCCATGATCTTCATATTTCTACATTCATCCATAAATGCATATTTTAGCACATGATTCACAAAAAAATGCAGTTAAACACTTATGAAGGAAATTTTCAATCAATATTTATGGTTCTTAAAATACTGTTTTTCATTCTGATTTTTCTAAACCTGCTATGTAACCAAATTTGATGTCACAAATTACAATAATTTTTTTTACATATGGCAGTTTCTGCACTTCTTTATAAGCTGAATTTACCATTTTTTCTAAATCATTACAAGAGCTCTGACTTTTTTTCCAGTCTCAGTTTATTATGATTCCATGATAATAACTCCTGGAATAATTTATTATTTCATTATAGTATTACCTGTAGTTCCTAAAATGAAGACTACATGTGGAAAATCATTATCAGACTGCTTTTGAGTGCTTGTCCTTGTTTTCTATGTAGATAGTCACATTTTCTTTTGTCATTAGTCCTAAGCAATAACCAGCATTTTTAGAGGGAAGAACATGGAAGATGGGCAATAAAAATCTACAGATTTTTAAAAAAAATTTTTCGTCAAACAAAATTTTATTATTATTCCTCATTTTATGAGTTATTTTGCAGGGTATCTTAACAAATATGCTCATACCAATTAGAAAACAGTGGTCAAAAATACAGTAAATGAGAGAACATGCAATTAATATTGCAAGACCTTCAAAGAAATCAGCTTCCCTGGAGTTGGGGTTTGCTGGCCCAATTCCTCCTAAGGAATATGTTAATTATTATGGGCCCCAGTAATTTGAACCAATTGACATGAGAAGACAACATTCTCTGAGTAGGAAGATGTTCTAAATCTCCCAATTTCATCTTTCCCCTCTGGCCAGAGTATTTGAATTCAAAGACAAAATATGTAAAGAGGGATACAGCAAGAGACATAAGTGTAGAATAACCATTGTAAGAGACAGAAAATATGAGGACTTGAGAAAGAAAACACGCAGTGAGAAAAGTTTGGGAAATAGAAGTATATAGTATATAGGAGAGTAGCCAGGAAAGAATTAGAAGAAATAAGAAAAAGTTAAACCATTATGAAAGTCAACGTATTTATATTATTTTGGGATCCCAAGGAAATAAAGTAAAACACTGGTAGATAACACAAAAAAATTATTTGTCATTATAATGGTCTATGAAGGGAGAAAGCAAAATGTAGTAGTACTAATATATATATTATGTATATATAATATACATAATATATATATATGATTGTGTGCTACCTTAATAAAAAAAAGGAGACATTGTTTAATGCAAATAATTTTATTATATATTTACAAGTAATCTGACATTGGGTAGAAGAAATACCTACAGTATCATTTTAATATAAAATGACAAATGACTTAATAAATTAAAATGATCATTTTTACTGAAAAATTAAATAGCAATCATGTAAAAATAGTTTTAAATTATCAATAAATTTTCATCACACTATTTTAAATATAGCACAAATGAGTTCTTTGAGTGTCAAAAGAAATAGTGGGCAAAGTGTATACGTTGTCAAGTAGATATGATTTAGTGTTGACAGTGAGAATGGATTAAGTAAATTAAGAAAACGAGCTAAGTGGCTGTGATTTTATATCCATTTACTTATTGGTATGAAGGGAGAGAATGCTGAAATAGTGACTTTAACTGGTGACAAATGATGGTACCCTGTTACCTTTTGTGGGCATGAGTAGTGAATTCAATGAATAAAAAAAAAAATGCCACAATAATAGAGATGACGAGAACTGTGCATTGTTCATACCCTATGGAGTGATGAATTAAACACAATAGTTTAATGACTTAGAGTATTCTAACATTTTCTAATTATTACAACAATATTTTAACCTTTGAATTTGCAGGTCATTTGAAGTAAGTTATCATTATATTCACAGGTTAAAACATTATTAGTGTTAATGTAATCTAGATGGAACCACCATAAAGACAGTTAATTTTCACAAATAACAATTAGGCTAAAATAATCACACATACAGAATATATAATAAAATACAAACAGCTTACAAGCTTAAATAATTTAATATTTAACTCTAGTGATATTTATTTAGTAAGATTTGATAAATTTTATCTTAAACGTGCAAACAAAAAAGGGCACAATTGGTTCCACTGAGATTGCACCAAATAACAAATCAGAGGCAGGACCTTATATATTCTTAGATTGTAAGAATATAAGGTGCACCACTTGGATATTAAATAAGATTCCTGCCTGGGAAGCTTTGTTTAAGCTGTTGTTACCTGGGTATTCATCGTAGACAAGCTAAAATTTAGAAATGTATTTTGTGCTGAAATTTAGGAATATGTTTTGTTGTTTTATAGGACTAGCTATACCAATTGTGCTTACAGTATGTTTTGTTTTGTATTTACATTCATATAACATAGGACCAGTATAAAAACTTGTCAAGAAAACATCTTTTCCACAACACAAAATACCAGTATTTTGCTAAGGAGCTGTTATTCCAATTATTCAAATACTTAAATGCAATTTGTTTGAGGCAAAGAAGCAAAGATACTGGCCACAAGAAGCATTAACCATGCAGTTGTTAACAATACAAGCTTCAAAAAGATGAGGCTTCTTTGAAAGCTGCCGCACATGGACAAAGGTTAACTGATTTCACTTGATCTCATCCAGATTGGTTTGTGAACAATTTTTCTCGCCCCAGCAATTATGTAAAAATTATGAGAAAAATTACTCACTCCAAGGTCACCTGAGCCACCGCATCCATTGAACTGTATCCATTTTCCATGAAAATCTCTGTATACCGGCCCATCTTGATTGCTTCTAGCCATTCGCCTACTGATCTGTAGGCCCCAGATCCTAAAGGCCCATGCTCTGCCAACAAATTAGATACTCTAAAACATATAAAACACAAATATTAAAACTAACAGTTTAAGGATTTTCTTTAAAACTTTAGTATTGTACAGTTAACTCATATTCAATAGATCTTTGGGAATCTAAATATATTTATAGAGGAAAACATACAAATGCTAACATGGAAGCAAATAATTCAGAATAGAGGAGAAAATACAATCAGTCCACTGAGATTTTCTTTGATTGATAATGATGAGGACTTATTTTAGACCAACCAATAAATTTTCTATAAAAGAAAATGATAGCTAAAAATTGCATGAAGTATGAATGGGTGAGCTCAGGAGATTTAAGGCAACAAAACTAGTCTTCATGATACTATAATGGTGGATATGTGTCATAATACATTTGTCCAAGTCCACATAATGTACACCAACAAGGATAAATCCTAATGAAAACTATTAACCTTGAGTGATAGTCATGCATTGTGTAGGTTTATCAATTGTAGCAAAACTGCTACTCTGGTCATGGATGTTGATAATGGGGTGGGGGTCTATCTATGCTTAGGGCACGGGGCATATGGGAGATCTCCATATCTTCTCACCAATCTTGCTATGAAACTAAAATTACTCTAAAATAGTTTACTACTTTTTCATGTTGTGATTTAGATTTATTTATTTCCTACTATTTTGTGGCTTTTAAAAATAATACAGAAAATATAAATTATTACAAAATCATATATACATATATGCAGCTTTATTCATGCAATGCCAACTACTTCTAGATTTTACTACAGGGATTCATGCCAAAGTTAATTTATTAGGAATACAAAGCTATTTATCCTTTATTTTCTGTTCTTATATAAGGCTGCTTATTAATTCATCTGGAAGAACCAGTAGAACCTAGGACACAAACTGTAACTCTGAATACATGAGGAAATGGAATAGAACTGACCAAGCCATGAGATGCTCTTCACTACACTAAATTCTTACTCTTTGGTCATAATGAGATATTGATATTTAGTTTTCTATAAATACTCCTAAAGAAATAATAGGGGAAAATGATAAAAGTTATATATGCCTGAATATCAAAAATAATTTATGTGTCCATACATAGTCCAATTATGAGATGCAGTACCAAATATCTTTCTTTCCACTTATATTCTCACATTCCACTTATGCTTTAGTCTCCTTGAGTGTAGTTTCTTCAAAACCAATTCTATAAAAATTTCTCTGGTTGACACAAGCAATAACCTCCATTTTGCCAAAATCTGTGGACATTTTTAAACCTGTAAAATGACTGACCTCTCAGAAACAACTATCGTCATTACTACCTCATTCTTGAAATTCTGCTCCTTCTCAACATTTTGTGAAATACGATTTGCTACTTTTTGGCTACCATGGGATTGTGTGCAAGTGAATTCTTCTCAATCTCCTTTGCCTTTTCTTCCTTGCTTTCCAAACTTTAAACTTTGGAATGAGCCAAGACTTGGTACTATATCTTCCCTACTCAAACAATAACTCCTCTCTACTCTGGACAATTTTATTCAGTTGTATTTAAATAGCATTTCTTTTTCTCAGTTTTTAAAATATTTTGGTTACATTTAACATATTGCCATAGAATTACTATAATCCTCCATATTTCTCATAGGAAAATCACTCCAGCATATCCAAAAATCACACCTCTCATCTCCACATACATCTTCTTCAGAAGTGCTTTGAATTATACTACATGATGCCATAGTGTACCCCTTCCTTGTCCTCATTCTTCTCACAATCATGGTGCATATTACCCATGTTATTTAGAACATATAACTCATATGACCACTGGTTTCTCACTTAGTACTAACTGTATTTTACAAAAACATCAAACCTCACTTGCTCAGTCATATAGTCTCCTGATTATCTTCTTGAATTATGCTCTTAAAACAAACACAAGTTTTTCTGAGACCTTTATTTTGTAAATGCCTTTTTCCTCCAACTGTGTATTGGCTTAATAAAGGGAGATTGCTAGAACTGTTTGTTTAATGCATGGTCAGCTCTTAGCAATAGCATAACAAGTTACAGAAAGATAAGTATTAGTGGAATAAATATATTGCACTTATTTGTGGTCATTTAAACAGTTTTAGAATTTTTAGAGATAGAAATATAGAATGAAGCAGACAGAGAGTTGAATTTTGAAGATCAAATTATGAACCAGTTGCAAATTCCTGGTAAGAGCAAGGTCTAAACAATATGACCATGGGAAAGGGAATCCAAAGTAAGTTAGATAACAAAATCATAAAAGGAGGAAATTTTGAGTGGTCGAGAGATATTCACGTATCATCTACATTGTTATTAAAGTCATCAAATTTTATGACATGAATGGGCATGCAGAGAATAAGAGAGATGTTGTACTAGGAACTAGCATTAGGATTTACAGATGACTGAATAAAAGATGGATAGAGAGTGGTATAATTTGAAAGCTAAATCTGTTAAACAAAGCCTGGTATGCCAAATCCTATATGCTACATATAAGAAAATATAAAAATTCTACTCTGGATATACAATGATGATAGTAAAGAAAGTTAATATAATTTGTGTCATTAAATTTTTTCTCATTTCTTTTCCTTATGCCCATATATGACAATGTGACATAATTAAAATAATAGATGAAAGAACATCTTAATATTTTACCACATTATGCAATTTAAAAGCAGATATTTAAGGAACAACATAAGGAATAATTGCTAAGAGGATGCATTCTCCAGTTGCTACCACAGAAAGTTAATAATGCCTGAACAGAGTTCGAAGATTCATTTGTCACATGTATTTAAAATGATTTTGCCTAGTAAACAAATATTAGATCAATATTATAAAACTTTGTTACTTTATAAACAAACTTTTTCATTCAGCTACCAAAATAATAGTATTTCTTGTAAAAAATAGACAAGTACCTCAAATAACAATCTGGTAAGTTGTCTAGTTTGCAATCAAACTGATTTATTTTACAGAGAATAATTCAATAATGTTTCAGATAAAGAGAAAAGCATATTTTACATGTATGCAACATTTTAAAAATACATTTGTGTTGACATTCAGAAAAGTAGAAAATATGGTTAATTGCTAATGTAAATTTTTGCACAATATTACTCATTTATCAGTTTTAAGTCTTATTCAAATTGTGCACTAAATGATTAACTAAATATCTCAGTACAAGATACTTAAAGTTTTAAATATTCATAAAATATGAACATTTGAATGTACTTATATTTGAATGACAGACACTAAAATGTATTCTAAAAAATTAAAGTATTATTATTGTTAGAAATCTCTGGTCTAAAATATTTCATGAATCATGTCTTTTCTTATGATCTTATAATCTTATTTCCTGTATCTGCACATATCCTCCAAAACACCAGAAGATACAACATTTGAGCACTACCATTTAATGCTTCCTGAATGCAGCTATCATTCATATTTTTCTGAAACTGGCATATTTATACTATTAGATCAGATATAGATGCTTTTAAGTATAATCACTGTATTTCTTCCAGTATAATAGACTGACATTAAGCTAAAACTATATTCAAATAAATTAACATATATATATACATATAAATGATTAAATTGGTGAAATATTTGTGCCATCAATCTGAATTAAATGCAATTAGGAAAATTGCTTAGATCCAGCCTGTACCTGCTTGATGCATTAACCAGTGTCTTCAAACTACTTGGGTTGCGTATCAGCTTATCCAACAAGTTGACTATTTCATCAAACTTGGGCCTGCTATTTCGGTCTTTCTGCCAGCAATCCAGCATTAATTGATAGAGAGCAGCAGGACAATCCATGGGGCTTGGCAGACGGTAGCCTTCCTCTACTGCTTTAATCACCTGTGCAAAGCAAAGCAGAATCAGTCTCCAACACCATGAATTTAATATACAATAGCTAGAAAAATTCCTTCCACACACTGTCATTCTTTTTTCTTACTTTTGTAATAAAAACCAGCATCACTGGTTTAAATCCATAACTACGTTCTCTTGCTGAAAAATAAAATGATAGAAAAACAATATGCTATTACAGTATAAAAAATAGACTTTCTTTACATATTCTAAATAAAATAAGTGGTAATCATTTTTACCTAAAATCTTGGTGGAGGGTGATTTATAAAATTAATTGACATAAAGTATACAGCTCATGTTTTATTTATCCTTGCATTCTGGAATCAAGTAAAGATTAAATTTTCTAGTGATTTCTTTGAGAAGTTAATGTCTTTTTAATGAAAAAATATGGCAGAGTCACATTTTACAGGAATAGAATGGAAATTTTACTACAAAAGGGACTTTTGGGTGATAAATGATGGATAAGTCAAAGGCTAAATTAGCATAACTGTCTCATGTATCATTTAATAATGTCAAGGTCTGACTGTTTATAATAATCTACTGATTTCTGGAAGGAATCTGAAATAGCTATCTGGTAGCACAGGCATTACAAATATCACTGGTTGTAAATGTAACCACACATGTGAGTATCAGTGTAATTGTGAGGCTTTTATCAAAAAGCATTTGTAATGCTGCTGCTAATAAAATATGCAATTTCAGAAATTGGTTGTTCATACTATTGAACATAACAATACAGTTTTTATTCAAATATTAAAATTCTAATATTTTAGTGATGCCAAAAACCAATATTAGTGAACATAGTTTTCAAAATCCCATTATGAATATTCCCTTAAGAAACACAATTGCATTATTCCACAATAATATAGATTTGGTTTGATAAATGGAAAAAAATTAAAAATGTAAAAACTTTAAAGAGACTGGGAAGAACTCAGTCTGTGATAAAGAAAATAGCATCTGAACAAATGCAGTGGCAGATTGGAAGGAAGATGAAATGGTAGATGTAAGAAACATTTATGAACTAGGGATAGAGAGAAGAGGAAAGTAGAGGTCAGTCAAGTTCAAGCCTACCACACTGAAAGTTTAGATCATTCAACTGAGGGGGAACAAATTTACGAAGGGAGAAAATGTTGTCAGGTGAAATTTGGGATTTCTTTTATCTGAGATGAGTGAGGAACACACAGATGGCAATTTGCAAGAATCTGGAGAAAGGACAAGAGACATTTGGGTTTATGTATAAATATGAGAGTCATGAGAACTTGGTCACAGCTTAAAGTTGGTGCAGTTTGTATCTTCCCAGGAAAAGCATGTAATAAAGGTTCCTGAGAAGCATTAGTAGTTAAATGCAGGCAGGAAAATAAAAAGTACTCAATGACTCTGAAAATAAATGGTCAGAGAAATAATTGGCTAACTACAAGCAAATGACCTCAGCCACCTACTACCTTAGTTAACTTACTTAACTCAAAAACAATGAAAGCAATTAAAAGGCAAACCACAGAACAAATTATTTTCAACCACTATAATATATGCAATGTATTAAAGGCTTATGTATATGGGGAACCAAGATAGTAAAACAGTAGACAAATGAGAGATAGACATTAACCAAACCTTATAATGGAAAAATAAAATGCTGAATTTGGAGAAAACATTTATCCTCAACACATCAAATAGATAATAAAAAATAAAAATTACTATTTGTATTCATATCTTAATGGAAGTACATTTATTGTTTTCTTATTATAATACTCCCCATTATTGATAAGGAAGTACAAACAGTGTATTGCAAATAGTTATGGCATATTTTCACTGTTCAATGATAAATTACTTAAAACATAGTTTATTTTATAATGTATCAAAGATGCTATCAATTACCTCTAGTTTTTTCTTTTGCACCTTTTTAAAAAAAGTTATCTTTCTTCCACTTAGCATTTAGTCTTTATTTGTGACTCTAAAATGGATAAAATAAATCAATTCAGTGGTTTTAAGGTCAGTTAAAAAGTGTTATAGTTTGGATATGGTTTATCCCTCAAGGGTTAAGTTTCTCAAAGTTTGGTCCTTAATGTAACAACATTGAGAGGAAGTGAATCTTTAAGAGGTGGGAAACAATGGAAGGTGTTTTTAGTCATGAGGGCACCACCTTTGGAAGAGATTAATGCCATTCTAGCAGGACTGGGTTAGTTTTCACAGGAGGGAGCCGTTTGTTATGAAGTGAGGCCATTCATGGGCATGGCCCCAACTGAATGCCACCATTTCCTTTCCCTTTCCCTACCATGTGTGATGCAGCCAGGATGCCCTGGCACATGTTGGTTGGACTTCCCAGCCACTAGAATCTTGAGCCAAAATAAACCTCTTTATATGTTTTTCACATTATGTCTTCTTTATCAACAACACAAAATGGACTAAGAGTAGTAAGTTATTTGGTCTGTGATTTCCAGAATCTCTTAATCAGTTCTACCTCGAGGTAAATAAATATTTGGAAATATAATTCCCTTTATCTAAGGTAACTTAGAACTTGGTTGAGGGAATTGGGTCATAGAACTGAATTGAATTTTAAACTAATCACTATAATTTGTTTTTAAATAGATTTAGAGCTGTAACTTTTGATTTTATATTTTAAAATTTTGAAATAATCACTTTTTGTTTTATTTTTAAAAACTATTGCTTTCTTCATAGTTTCGTGAGAAATGAATGGCTTTAGTATTCTGGTGGTTCATGAAATCCTGAAAATATACTGAAGTACAAATTAGGCTGTTCATTTTAGCACACAATGTAAACATGTGATCTGATGTATCATGACTACATTTGTTAGCACTGGTAGGTTACATGAACAAAGAAAAGAAGAAAAGAAAATGGCAACCAAAAACCTTAAGAAAATGTGGCACCAGTTCAGACGTAGTATGTCTGAAATAGAAAACTATGCATTTTCTTGGCACTGACAAGTAAATCAATTGTCTGAACACAACTTAATGAATGGTGATTCTACTTTCCATACCTAAAATCCCAACACTGAGCCCAACTGTGGCACTGTTCATTTGGTGGCAAGTTAACTCTGTTGGGCTCCTTCAATCATGAAACATCAGTGGGGTGATCTTTTAGGTTATACCTAATGAGTTTGATTTGCTTTTTTGTCCAGAAACAGGATCTTTGGAGTACTTGAACCACAAACATGGAATCCCACATGCAGAATCACTTAGACCTTTATGATAGAGATTATGTAAGAGTATTTCACAATGTACTAGTAAATATTTAATGACTGGCTCATTCTGTAGAAAGACGGATTTGTAACATTTTCACAAATATTTAGTATAAATACTTTTTCCATTCCAGTTGAAAGCAACCAATACACTTTTATCCAGGCAAAAATGTTCTGAAAATTTGCAAACTTGTCCAGCTGGTTCTGGCACACCACTACACTAAGGTAGTTGCTTCATCCAGAAGTAACATGTGTCATAGAATGCTGGTATAGTCCTTTAGGGCATAGCTGAAGCATTACCTCAGAGCAGTGCTCTGAAAGAATGGGACACCATTCTTCAGGTTGCAGTATAGGTATTAAATCAGAGACTTCTATGCTGTTCACTGTTTCCAGGGATGGTATCTAGGGGACACAGCAAACATTTCACTGAGCTAACAATTATGAGCATCTTGAGACCAGCAAGAAGCACAAGCAGAGGAGAGGAGTCACTATGATGGTAAAGGCAATGGATACCAAACATTAGAAAGCAATAGGTACATAGATTAAAATGAGTAAAATACCAAGAATGAACAGAATTTGTTCAAACTACTTGATAAGACACCATCATCTGCCAGTCTCCCAAGCAGGGGAATGCAGAATGGTTAGTGGTGAAGGAAGAGGATAAGGAGCAGGTGATGTGAAAATGTAGACTTGATCACTGAGTGGCATGAAGCATAGAGGGAAATTTGAGTATAAACTGTGCATTTCAATTAACTAATTTCTAATTGGAATTCAAGTGTCAGTGTTGCTACGTATTTACTTAAAATCTCAAATATAAGAGCTGCTACTATGAGACATGAAGCTCCACAGAAATGACTGGAGTATAAATATATTTTTGTAAATGCCATATATGTGCAAATAATTTCAGCTACATCAGTTTTCTTACTGAATTTCTTGCCTGTTTTCAGTCATTATTAGCATGGATTTTTCTTAGTATGTCAGTCTTAGATCACTAGAGTTTCAGAGATTAAAGAGATCTTAGAAATCATGTGTCTGTTCCTTTTCTAATAGTTGAAACTGACCAAGAGTTTTAGAGACCAAGACGACTGCCAATAAGTTCAAGATTTTCTTCTTGTTTGTTACACAGCACAATATAAGATTTTTAAGCTGAAGTATTGATATTACTTTATGTATAACTTTTTGAAATTATCATGAGGGTATCAGTTCCTAAAATAATTACTGACATCCCAGGACAGCACATATAAAAACATCTATTTCATATCAGAAATTGAAGCAAAAGATAGAAAGAGGAAGAGAGGTATACTTAACCAGAGTAGGCTGATATCTTTTGAAATCAGATATTCCTAGGACAACAAAGGTAGTAATAAAACTACTGGATTAAAATTTGAAGGAAAAAGAAAACAAAGAAAAGTAACTGCCTAAAAAAAGACAGAAATATGTCTAACAGGAGAATATTAAACAACAGTTTACTTGAATAGGTTTGACATCTTTTGGAATTTATGTATTTAGTAGACTCCATGTATTCATACATTCAGCAATAAATACAAAGAAAAACACTGTCTGTAAATATAAAAATATGATGAAATGATGAATTTAATTTGGTTTGTATTTTTCGTTTTAAAAATGTTGACATTTTAAATGTTTGTATCAACAAACAGGCTTCAACTTACTATATTATCAGGCTTCTCAAGAGTGAATCAGAGTTCATAGTCTGGTATTTACCTAAAATCTTCTTAATCATTCGGTTTGTTTTTATTATTTATCATTCCTACAGTTTGTGATGACAGCAGCAATTCTGATTTAAATGAAACCTATTGCTTTGACACAGAGAAAGGTCTTCTCTGTGAGATTTAGATTACAATGAATGACTTGATAATGTAACATTTTCATGGTAGCAAAAGACCTTTTAGAAACAGATAGTATCTGATGTAGACATTATGGGATATATGATTTGAAACAGCCATATCACTACTTCAACTTTGCTGTCTGAGAAAATTTTTTTGCCAAAAAAATAGTCGGTGATCATGATCTTCAAATACTGTTGCTCTGTAATATCTCTTGTATACAAATCTGGATAGAAATTGAGGCATATCACATTTAGTAGTGTATAAAGACAGTAAATGCTAAGGAAATAACAAAGTATATACTACACGTTATGTTAAAGGAAAACATTTCAGGAAGGTTTGTGATTATATGATCATATTCTGTAAACTTCTAGATTCTTAGAAAACCTAGAAAATTAAAATCCGTATTTTTATTCTTATAAATTTCTGAAAATATTACATCAGCATTCTCTTTGATTTCAAAGTGGGTTGAAATAATGTTATCTAGAAAAGTATGAAGACATCAAAATGGCCAAAATCAGGAAAAAATAAAAACAATAAAGAACATTAAATATAACAAAGAAAGTACTTGTGACACAACACTGGATGATGTTAAAATGCCAAAACAGGTATTAAGTATCAAACAAATGAAATTAGAACACAAAGACTTCAGATAGAAAACCAGAATTATTTCAGAACAAAGTGATTACACCAGGACAATTACAGATTCAAAGAGGAGGATGTGAAGGATTAGGAGATTTTCTCCAACTACTTCTTATTTCCCTGTACCTATCTATTTCTCCATGTAAGTGTTCTGCCTGCCCATGGTAAGAAGTGTAGTTGATCCAGTCATCTGGTTGTGTGGTTGGTTCATGGCATTTTAGCAGTAATGTTGCCTTTTGAGGTACAATTGAACTCTTTCTTGTACTGCAGCCACTTGGTAAGGCCATCAGGTTTGGGCAAGCCTACTGGCCTCAAGAGGAAGATGAGAGACTTGTGGAGAATGATGAAATTGCACCAGTATAGAACACTGACCTCAGGGCCATGACCAAGCCTAGGCAATACAAGCAGAAGTACTTAAGAACATCCACCTAGAACTGTGGTCTACTTCAATCTATAACTGCTATCTGTTACAGATGTAAGGTCATCAGGCATGACACCAATAATCTGAATGATGTGCTACAAACTTCTGAGCGACAAAATCATAACTCACAGAATCTCATGTGAGTAGGAGTTAACTACACAAATACGGGATAAATGATTCCCTTGAGTGAAATGGACACATGGTAGAGAGCAACATGTGAAGGCTAGCTGGCAAGCCAGAATAAAATACTTTCATAAGAATTAAAGGGAAAGTGGTTTTGAAATGAGCCTCCAGATAACTTAGAAGTCAAATCATGTAATGTTCTCTGGCCATGTCATCATTTTGCAGTTATAAATAGCAAATAGGCATTAATCTAGCCTAGATCAATTCAGATTAGTCATTATACATTGAATTGGATGTTTCATATTTCATATTTATTCTGAAGGCTGATCACTGGCTGGAAATGAAAGGGAGGAAGTAGATAATCAATCCATTGGAGAGTGTGGTCATTACATTAAAAAATGGAGAGTAGGCTGAAATACCCAGCATAAATTTTACTGTCTTTATGACCTTAAGAAAGCCATTAGGCCAGGCACTATGGTTAATGCCTATAATCCTAGCTACTTGGAAGGCAGAGATTGGGAGGATAGCAGTTTGAGATCAGAAAGGGCAAAAATTTAGCAAGACTCCATTTCAACAGAAAAAGGCTGGGAGTGGTGGTGTACACCTGTTGCCCCACCTACAGCAGGAAGCCTGAAATAAGAGGAGCATGATCCAGAATAGCCTGGACAAAAAATAAAAAAATCAAAAGAAACACTCTATCTTCAAATTAACTAGAGAAAAAAGGGATGACATGGCTCAAATGGTAGATTGCTTGCTTAGCAAATGTGACGTCCTGATTTCAAAATCCACTACAAAAAAAAAAAACCAGAAACAAAATAGACAGTCATTAGAACAAGCACAGTGGCTCACATCTATAGTCCCAGCTACTTGGGATGTGGAGATCAGGGGGATGGTGGTCCAAATTCTGTCCAGATAAAAGTTTGCAAGACCCCGTCTCAATCAATAAACCAGGTGTGGTGGAGCACTGCTCTAAACCTAGTTATGCAGGAGCCATACATAAGAGGATCAGGGTCCAAGGCCAGTCTCAGGCCTCTCTAGGCCTGTCAATCCTGAAGGATCCAGATACAAACTTTTATACAGTAGAAGGAACAAAAATCTAACCACTCATTCTCATTTGCATAAGTTAAGTCATGGTGGTCTTGCAATTAGGGAAAACACTTTGAAATTTATGACAGATTGACTTCAATTTAGACTGAATTTTAATTTTAATATTGGACAATGAGTGCTAATTACTGGTGTGGGATTGTTTTAACAAAAGTCATCTAAAGAGTTATAGCATCTACCATGCCTAAGAGCATGCACGGGAAAGGAGATATTATACAGTATGGATGAAAGAAGTAATTGAAGAAAAAGATCAATGTTTCAAATAATTACACTAATGCGTTAATAGGGTTCAATAAACTGGCTTTTTAAATAAAAATGAGTTATTATTTTGTAATGCACTTAACATAATGTATGACACATAATAAAAGATCAATATGTATTTACTCCTTTTATACTTGTTATCTGAAGGAAAAATATCAAAATTTTAACATGATCTAAAATGGAAACGGGTGTACTGAGTTGTAAAGATGGAAAAATGATGAAAGCAAACACCAAAGAGTCATGTGTCATGCATATCGTAAACATTCTGAACTTGAATAGAAGAATTTTTCATGATTTCTTTACTATTAGGATTGTATTATTCTTAGTATAAATTATTTTTCTATTGTGGATAAAATATGTTTTCTACAAAATAATTACATGATACAACTTATCTTACATTTTATAATTTGAAGAAACAAACTATTTCTTTTTATCATCTAAGAACATTGACTACTTACGTCAGAATTCATTCTTTCAGTTTGGACTATTATCTGCCTTTATCAAATGCAAATTATAAAAATTTGCCTGTCAGTGTTCATTCTTTGATGGCTCTTTCTTCATCTATGAAAACAGTACTGACATAAACTGAGTGAAGCATCACTTCAATACAGAAAAAAAAACATCTTGCAAGGGACTGGGTTTTTATATAATTGTAACTTCTGTTCTTTTGTGCTAACTCATTTTCAGCTTCTGCATAAAGGCTATTTCAACAATAGCAAAACAGATCAGAGGGTAAGCAAAGTATTTCATATTTTTCAAGCAACTGTCATTTTTAGAAATGAAAAACTTTGTAAGTGCCTGGACTCAGAGAACAAAGCATTTCATCCTCAACTTGAGAAGGAGCAGTTCAAGACTCACATCTTGATTGGTCATCTCCCAGTAGGGTCTCTCTCCGTAAGACACAACTTCCCACATTACTATTCCATAGCTCCAGACATCACTGGCTGAGGTGAACTTGCGGAAAGCTATTGCTTCTGGGGCAGTCCATCTGATTGGAATTTTGCCACCCTAAAATTAAGAAAACTATTTTAAAAATCTTCACATACATCAAAGGTATCTAGGGGTACTGCTGCCTGGCTGAAAAGATCTAGAAAGAGATGTAGCATTTTTAAATGAATCTGTTTGACAGCATGCCATCTCTTTTTGCATCTCCCAGCCCATAAGCACTTGTAGACTAACTGCTAATTTGCTGTCCAGAAGGTTTCTTCTTTAAATTCTGTTTGACTCTTAGAACACATTCAGGACTCACATCTCAATTACAGTCCTCAGGTTAGCAGTTCTAAGAAGGGGAAAGTAGGCAGTCAAGCAAATCAATAAGGTATATACTCTCAGCATTTTTTACAGAGAGTGAAGGGATCAAATTCCATGCACATTTCCTTTTTTAATACAGAAATTGTAAGTCAAAAAGTCTAGGTTGTTAATGTAACCCTCAGAAGTTTAACAGCTATTAAGACAAGCAGGAAAATTGAATTTGTTAAAAAAATAAGTTTACTTTCTCTCAACATTGTTTTATTTTTCATTTTTATACTTTTTATTAGCATGTATTAGTTGTAAAAGGAGAATTCACTGTGACATATAGAACGGTGCTTATAATCTGTCTTAATTAGATTCACCCCCCCATTCTGCTTCATTTCCCCTCCCTCCTTCTTAGAACAATTCCAACAGGTTTAATTATTTTTTTCTTTTACAAACATGTATAGAAAGTACATTCACCCTCTTTTGCCCTCTCCATTTACACTCCACCCTTCTAGTACCCACTCCCCGACAGAACCCGTTTACCCTCTTGTCCTTCATGTTTTTAAGTGTATATAGATTGTTCAAGGATTTGCCTTGGTATTTCACACATGTACATATCATCTTAAATCAGATTAATTCCCTCTATTACTTACTGTATTGCCTTGATCCCTCGTTATTCAACAGCTTTCAGCATTTCTGTATGCTATCTGCTATCTTCATACATGGATGCAAAGTATTTCAAAATGATAATTTACTCTTTTCTGATTACCTTTTTTAGTGTTTAGTTAGAATATCTTACCTAAGAAATGGGTTCGTTTAACTCAATCAAATTAAAAATAGTTGAACTTGGATTATTGGGAAAAGTCACATTTTTAATTTATTTTTTTTTTACATAGTAGAAAAATTGATTTGGTATGTCTACTCTTAGTTCACACAATAAACACTTATATACCCTGATTCTTTCAGAATAAGTTTTTATTATAATATTTAAAAGCACCAAACCCATATACATTTAGAGAGAGAGAGAATGAAAATTTCTGACAAAAAAAGACAACCACAGGCCTTCTTAGTATGAAAGAAAAGTGATTTAATTTGCAAAATAGAAAAAAAATGAGACATAAATAGCTATTGTAAAACAAACTTTCAAAATATATGAGGAAATGACAATTTGTGTCATGTTAAAATTGTGGCATATACATACCAACATTTGAAGAGAACTTTATTGCAGCTTACTTTAGGTATTTACAGGCAAGATCACATCATATATATAGTTGTGATATTTTATAATATATAATTAAAGTGCCTCTTAAGAATGGTAGCTTATTGCACTGAACTTTACCTCCTGGTTCTTGACCACCATATGTGTTATCAATATCCTCTGAAGTTCCTTCACCTATTCTTTTCTCACTATATATCTATATCATTTATATCTATCTATCTATCTACCTACCTACTTATCATTATCTATCATCTTACACAAAGTATTACCATACCCCATTTCAGAGAAGTAAGTCTTGAGAGTGTCAGGATCTCTGTCTCTCCCCCAAAGCTCTGCAGCATGACACAATGATACAGTCCTTGAAAAATCCACTTTTTTTACTTAACTAAGATGCCAACCTATTATACTGCAATAGACTTTCCCATAACCTCAATCCTATTTAGGCCAAATTATTAAGTGCAATTCTAATCCCAGAAGAATTCTTAATTAAGGTTTCATTTATTGCAAATAATGACAGTGATAGTTAAGCATAGAAGGGGAGAGATATCTCATCATTTAATTTATTGATTTAGTAAAGTCATCTTTGGAAGGTTTTGTTTGCTTTGATAAATTACTCTTGCCCTTAAGCACAGTACAAATTTCCACAAGTTCACGTGAGTCACAATGCAACAATGTAAAAACAAAATTCGATAAAAGCCTTATGAGCTATTAAAGAATTTATTGTTAAATTATGAATAGATGTAATTTTAAAAATTTGAATTAAATAAGAACACATATTATATATATTTTTAATTTAATAATGGAGTGAACTTATTCAAAGTATACTATACACATCTATGGAATTATCACAATGAAACCTCATTGTATTATTAATGTATGCTAATAAAAGTTATTTTAAAAGCATAAAAGATGACAAAAGTGTTATTCTGTATTGAAGCAAAAGTGAGCCAGTTTGGACAGAGAAAGGATACATGACAAATCCTTATCTCCACAAGGAGTTTAGATATTGATGATATCTAACTTGATGGCAGTGAAAAGATTTACAAGTACACAAACATTGTTTATCTTAAGGGATCCAAATATAAGAAGTACAATATAATAGACTATCAAGAAATTTTTGTTGTACTAACATTCATAGTTTTCCACAGGGAATTTATCAATAATATATATCATATTAACTCAGGAAGCAATTAATTTGCTGGAACATATTGATTTATGCTAATTATGATCATATGAGCAAGTGATCAATTTTTCATAGATGAAGAATTAACAGTTTTCGTAATATATAACAAGAGTATTTAGGCATTGCGATACCTCCAGAAAAATCAATAGTTTCTGCAAGAATAGTTCTTTTTACTCCTGCAATGTAAATTTATAAAAGACAGGGTCCAGATATTTCAGTATTATTTTTATAATTGAGGACACTGTAGTGCAAAACTAATAACATTATCCAATAATTCTATATGTGTTTATATGTTTACATATATGTATGCATCACTTCTATCTATTATCTATCTATCTATCTTTATATTTTAATTTAGGAGATTCCATCTTTAACTGTTTTCTCTTACTTTTAAAATTTTATAATTAAATGTTTGCATCCATTCTGATAGTCAGACTTTCTATTTTTCATATCTTTAGGAAAGAAATAGAGACTCAGAAGGTGAATATTTTCCTTATCTGAATTGAATATTTGAATTTTCTGATACCAAATAAAGGAGGTCTCTTGCTTTTTTTTTGTCTCCTTCTGACTTTCTTGAAGGAATGCCCTTTCTGCTATTTCCCTTACAATCTTTAAAAATTGAATGACTCTAGTCCAGTGTATCAGAAATGCATTCTGTTAGATCTTACCCTTGTAGTGTAGGCTGCCTCAGGATCATCTTCCAGGACCCTGGAAAGTCCAAAGTCAGACACTTTGCACACAAGGTTACTGTTGATTAAGATGTTTCTAGCAGCAAGGTCTCTATGCACATATCCCATGTCAGAAAGGTACTTCATTCCTGCAGCGATGCCTCTCAGCATGCCAACAAGCTGAATCACAGTGAACTGCCCATCGTTTTTCTGCAAGGAAAATGTAAAAATATTAGTCAAGCAATACCAGTCACAGAAGGAAAAAATAAAAAGATCTTTCTTCAATCTCCAAATTAATATTATCATCCATCAAAATTCATATGCAATTTTTATCTGAAAGAGAATAGAAAACATTAGAAATGGTATAGTTAACTGGTAATGTTTATCTCGTCAAACCAGATAAAGGCTTTGAAAGCCCTTGTCAAAATCTCATTTTTTATATTGTAACTCCTTTATTCTCAGTCATCAGAGAAGTTGTTCATCACTTCAACATAGAGCCTGCTGTTGTTACCACTGCATATTTTCTGAAGTGATTAAAAAGAAGCTAGCTGAACAGACATATTGAGGCAAAATTGAAGTGTCCAGAGGAGATAAGGCAGTTTCTATAGCAGAAATTGAAGAAGGATGACTGAACACTGATCAGTAAAATATTTAAGAATTCTTGGAATTCTGTTGTTTTTGTCAAAAGCATTAAACTTAATACAGTTGCATATACTCAGAAGGCTTAACTGATGATTATTTTGAAATAAAGTGAACACGTGACTTTAGAGACCTGAGAACCTGAAGATATGGGTTTGAAAATTGACAAGAAAATGCCTTAGCAGCTGGGAACTGGAAGAGAAATTGATTTGACTTATTAGTGGACCACTATTCTAGTTACAGCACAGATTCCACTTATAATTGTCTCCAAGGCCATCATATTATCACCTTTCCCAATCAATACCAATAATCATGACTTTGAAGTTACTAATTGCAAAACTGTACATTTAATCAGACCTCAAATATCTTATATTGTCTGACACAAATATCTAGTAATCAAATGAGTTGCTGATATTTAAAATTTAGAGATGTGCACATATTTTTTCCTGAAACCTGGAAAACCTGACAGTATTGGCTATTGTCTACTACAACATGACCATTCTGGTGACTGGCCCTTATGTATGTTGTGAGCATTCATGGGCTGCCATTCATACCTTCATTAGTGATTTGTATGGACACTGTAGACTTTTTTTCTGGCTCAGCCTGATAACATGTACTATTAGAAAGTTAGTACTTTTTCTTTTTGGTAGAATCAGAGTTTGAACTCAAAGCGTCACACATGCCAGGCATGTGCTCTCCCACTTGACCCATGCCTCAAGTCCTTTCCTTTTTGTTCTGGTTATTTTGGAGATACACTCTCTGTATTTGTCCAAGCAGGTCTACACTGAGATACTCCTATTTTTAGGCTTGCTGCTGTAGATGTGATGACAGGAGAGCCTCACCATGCTCAGCTTCACTCTGTTGAGATGGGATCTTGCAAACATTTTTTAATAAGTAACACTGAATAACTAAATTAGTTAAAAATCTTACCTTTAAGAATGTGTCTAAAGAGCCATTCTCCATATACTCTGTCACGATCATCACAGGTTTACCTGAAAAGAAAACAGAATGGTACAAAGTGTGATTAGAGAGTGGTATTCTTTGATCTCTCTCTCTCTCTCTCTCTCTCTCTCTCTCTCTCTCTGTGTGTGTGTGTGTGTGTGTGTGTGTTTATTTATTTATTTTCAAAATGCCCTCTTTGGATTTGAATAACATGTAAACTCTTGGCATTATGATGACTTACTGAGTGCACTGGATCAATGAGAAAAAAGTGTCACACAGTGATAAACTGACATTTAAGACAAACACACACATATGCACATATGATTGCCAATATCAAAGCTATTTATGTAGAAAAATGAAATTAAAGTAGAATTATATTTTAATGGAGACAATGATAGAATATATCAAATAATATCCAGAAAAGCACTTAGAATATATTCATCTCTCTATGAATTCTAAATAAAAGTTGTTATTATGTCTAACTGCCCACTTTATGATCCCTTGAATATGTGTTATTCTTTCCTACCTTTATTGCTATGTTCTCATAAGTACTTTTTTTATGGCTATTTACCTTTGTCCTCTACACCATGCCCACCATCTCAGTCAACACAAAGTTTTTCAAGTCTTAAAAGTGCTGCTCTAATTCCCCTTGCTTTGTGAAAATTTCCCTAGAAACCATCACTTCTCATGGAGGAGGTATTCATTCCTATCTGTCATGCAAGGTAGCCTAGATGTTGGTTGGATAGACTGGAGCTATGCTGTTTGGCTTTTTAATACTACAACAATCATTCACTGTGATAGTTAATTTAATGTCTCAATTTTACTAGTTTAAGGAATACCTAAAAACCTGGTAGATCAGTATTTTGGGTATGCCTCTTAAGGTGTTCAGAGAAGATTAATGTGTAAGTTTAGTGTGTGGGAAAGGTATATCTTCAACATAGCCAGGCACTGTGCAATTGACCACAGGCCTGGGAGAGAACAAATACGAGAGTGAATTAATTGTTCCTTTCTCCAAGTGTGGGATAGACCATTTTTCTCTCTTGGAAATAAAACCTCCAGGACTTAACACCAGATCTCCTCCTTCCTTGAGGCTTTTGACCTCCAGCTGGAGTTGCACAATCTGCTTTCTTGTTCTGAGTCTTCTGACTTAGACTCTACCACTCTACCAGTATCTCAGGGTCTTCAGCTTATAGACAGTCTATCATGGGACTCCTCAGCAGTCATAATAACATAAGCCAATTTTTTTAACAGCTTGCCTCTCATATCTCTATATATGTATGATTTTGCTGCTCTGAACAACCTGACTAATATTCTCATTATTTTGAGATTTAGAGCAAGTCAATTATCTCTGTGCCTCTGTTAAAATGAGGATAATAGTGGCATGTACCTCACAGGGTTGTTATGAGTATCTGTGATTTTATTCAAGGCATTGGAATGGATCTTACTACTTAGAATTTTCTATGAGTTAATTTATATCATCACATTATAAACTTTATCAACTCTGTATCTGTGGGTAAATGTTCTTGCTGGATATTAGTTGCCTAAGACAGCAGATACTATCTTATGCCTCCATAAAATTATGGCACTTGGTACAGAGTTTATATGCTATGCAAGATGAAAAAAAAAGACTAAAAATTCTTGCTGTATTAGAAAAGATCTAAAACATGGTTGTTCATTTTAACATTCCACATTGATCTAAATATATTCTAATACTGTCCCTTTACTCTGTAATAAAAACAACTACATAAAAACATAATCATTAAGTTAAACTACTTTGAGTTAGGAGAAAGATCTCTGGCAACAGAGTTACTAACTTATATGTCTACTATTTAAAACTTTATATCATGAAATGTAATAAGTCCTACATAATCATGAAATGCATCATTCTTAGCTTAATACAGATGGATACTTTGTGGGAGAATTGATTAATTCAGGACATAGAATTAGAGATTGAATATTTCTACACATCAAGCTGTACAAAAGTACAAATTTAGTTATAGAATATTTGATGCTTACATGTGAAAAAATAACAATGAAAAAAGATGATTTTTCTTTTCAACATAATTTAAAAACTCAATGTTTAGAGTAGTAAGTTAGGAAACTCTCTGAGAAACTTTTTACGAATACTTAAAAGGCAATATTCTTTAAATGGAATGTTACAGTGTACTACAAAGTAACACATTTCCTTCATTCTCTTCAAAGTTTATAAATTATACAAAAGTTTATAAAAAATAATTCATGTGACATGTTTGTTGATGCCGACATTAGGTGAAACATCATGTATGCTGACAATGTACATCAGAGTTGTAATTTGTTCTGAAACGTGAAAAGGGAAAGGGTCTCTGATGTAACAAAAGGTGTCCAGTGTCTAGGAAGAGAAGCAGCATGTGTCTAGGCATCGTGTCATGAAAGAGCCCATTGCTATTTTTTAAATTAGGAAATGACAGGGAATAAAGTGAGGAATATGGAGTTTTAAACTCAATTGGGATACAATACACAGTATGAAAAGAAAAAGAAACAAACAATTTAGATTGTGTTTGTAAATGTGCTTTTATCCTTGTTATAATTGTAATCAATGTTCATGAACAGAGAAATAATTTCAAGTTAAAATTTATTTTAATGATACTGCTGTATCCACTTTAAAGTATCTTAGATGAATCCTACAGTAGGTAAAATTCCATTTAGGGCCCTTTTGGTCTTGTACTCACATCTCAGATACCATTTCAGACTTTTATTTTTGTATAAAGTTCTTTTCTTTCAAGATCCAAAATTAGTGTACTACTTCCTGGGATGACAGACAAACTCTTTTGGTACAGGCCCATACACGTTAGAATTTATACCATCCATGATGTTAGAGTAACCTGCTTCATTAGACACTGACCCTTCCTTCACCTGATTTCAGAGACTGAGATATACTGGGGAAAGAATTTGAATATTTACATAAAGGGAACAATGTGATTACCTCTGACACTAGCTTTTTAACTAGACATCGTAGAAGTGTTTCAATAAATTCACAGCTGTTAGAATTAAAACACTACATGTCTGCTGAACTTAAGTGCTGATGTTAATAGTTAGAGGCCTTATTTTTTGAGATCAGCTTGTGTTTCCGGAGATCTTTTTGATGTGACTCACTCTCATTCTCCCTTACAGAAAATTGTTAACAAGATTGTTAAATTACAAAGAGTTGGGAGAACTGAATTCCAGTAGACTTTTTGGAATAAGGTCTTATCTTTCCCTCCTTAGTATCTTTTAGCTCTCTCAATGGCAGATGCTTTGATCAAACCCATGTTTATTGCAGCACTATTCACAATAGCAAGTTTATGGGAAACAGCAGATGCCCACCACTTGACGAATTGGATTAAAGAAAATGTGGTAATTCTGTACACAATGGGAATTTTATGCAGCATGAGAGAACGAAATGTTATCATTCGCTGGTAAATGGATGGAATTGGAGAACATCATTCTGAGTGAAGGTTAGCCTGGCCCAAGACCAAAAATCGTATGTTCTTCCCTCATATGTGGACATTAGATCAAGGGCAAACACAACAATGGGATTGACTATGAGCACATGATAAAAGCGAGAGCACACAAGGGAAGGGGTGAGGATAGGTAAGACCTAAAAAATTAGCTAGCATTTTGTTGCCTTAACGCAGAGAAACTAAAGCAGATACCTTAAAAGCAACTGAGGCAATAGGAGTCCAGAACTCCCATGCATACCAATACCTGTAGATACTAAAATCTCAGAGGTGTTTTCTGTAACTACTGAGATGATCATATGATTGTTGTGATTTATTCTGCTTATATGCTCTATTAAAGTTACTGAGTTACGACTTTTGAACTATCCTTCATATCCTGAAGGAAACCAAGTTGATCCTGGTGTATGATATTTTTAATGTGTTGTTGAATTTGGTCTGCAAGTACTTTATTAAGAATCTCTTCTGTTCATCAAGGAAAAAAATAAAATACCATACTCATCACAAGCTTCCTGTGAATATCCTCCTCTTGAACGCTTTAAAACATTTGTAAATTACTTATACCTAATACAACCTGAGGGCTATGAAAATAGTCATAGTTTATTATTTAGGGAATAATGACAAGGAAAATAAGTCTGTACATTTTCACTATAGAGGCATTTCTCCTCCTTTCCCATATATTTTCAATCTGTTGAAATCTTCAGATGTGAAACCTGCAGATGGCCAACTGTATTTACCTCTGCTTACTCAATGTCCAAGAGTAGAATCTGGATAGCATTCCAATGTAAAAGTATCTCATTTTAGGTTTAGTTTAAAATCTGAAATTCAACCCAAAACTCACTGAACTTAAAAGACAGAATACTCTAAAGAGAATGCACTAACTGGAAAACTTACTAACACTGAATAATGTACATTTGGAAAGAAAAAACATGATGACTTTTGAGGAGATGGGCACCTGGTATTCAATCTGTGAGATTTTTCGACTAGCATCACCTCATTTTAAAAGTCAGATTAATGACTTAAGACAGTGTAGGATATAATTTCAAACACAAAAATGTTATGTGAGAAACATGATAGGGGCCTAAACCATCTCTCTTATTTCCAATAATGAGGGAAAAGCAATTAAAATTAATGTTTGCAAACAAGCAGGATCTTTTTTTATTGGCAAGAATAAGACACTTCAGCACCCATTCGGTTATTTTTCATGCTTGAGTCATTTTAATGCTAATTACATTTAGTTTGGCTTATGTTTTGTCTCAAGTCCTGCTAGCCTGCAAGAATGCCATAGCAATAATTAACATGGATTACTCTAACCCTTGTAAATTCGATAATACTATATGAATCATTTTTCATTATCCAGCTTGAAGTACAAAGAATAGATCTGTCAATAATTTTGAAAGAATATTATCAAAAATCTATATAAAAAGAGCTTATAAAGCATGTCAAAGCATGATTTTAACCACAGAATAGAGTTTTTAATATTACTTTATATTATTTACTGAGTATGCAGAGTTAATACAAGAGAAACACATCATGTGTAGAATTTGCCTTTATTATTGATAATCATAAAAAAGATA